GCAGAGTTCATAATCAATAAGTGATGCCACAGTGGCTATGTTCGTCTTTTAATTCATCTTTTAAATACAGTTTGTGGTCCTCACCACTTTGTTGTCAACAGCTATACAATTTTTTTTGCTGAAATCCGATTGTTTTTTTTGTGTTTGGCAACAAAAAATGGCAATTTCATTTGGCTACAAAGTGCAAACTTGCCTGAGACGCTTGGTGAGAAGATCGTTTGACATTTATATTGAAATCTGTGGGGGGAAAAAATGGAAAATACTGTAATATCAATTTTTGCGGTGCCCTCTGGCATTACATTGCCACTTTATTTTCTCTTGTCTCAGTCTTGCTTCCTGGAACAGATAACTCAAATCCTATGCTGCGTCTTCAGATGAGAAGAAAGAGAGCTACGAGTAAAGTTGCACCCTTTGCCAAAGTCTTTCTGGCAATTGTTTTGACAAAAGAATTTATTTAAAAAATCTAAAAGAAGTCAGGGAACTATCCCCAGTTATTGTTGCAAACAGACTTGTCTTTTAATTAAACCTAAAAAAAACCCCCAAAAACAAGCTAAAGTCATGTCAAGGCCATGACAAAAAATGGGTGAACCTTAAGAAAAAGGGCAGTGAAGGAAATGAAGCCTGAATGCCAGTCGTAAATGAAAGAGGCAAATGCACTGCCTCATAGCTGTCAAAAATGATCTAAATCATTAGATCAGAATGGGGGGAAAGAACCCTTTAAAGTATGGATGTGAGAGTTTTGAATTGTTTATCCAGACAGTGATTGTGAAAAGATCAAGTACTCTTCATAAAGTTTTTTTTTTGATGCAGTACAAAAATGTGTTTTTCAGTTTTTCCTGGGATACATACACAATAAAAGCCCAGACCCACAGTCTCAAAGACACAGCAAAGGCCAAAGCTTTAAATGGAAATGCTGTCCTCATGCATGCACTGACACTAGGATATCTCTGATCATAGCCAGCATAATCTCAAAGGCATTGAAAGACCACTAAAGCAGTGGCACAGATGATTCCAGGCCCCCGACCACACACCCCCTCATACTTTGAGATGCAGAACAGAATGAAAGTCTCCAAGTGTGATGTCAACCCTTCCGAGACCTTAAACCAGAGCTGTGCCGTGACAGTGACTATACACGTCATCCTCTCTTCTCCACCAGTCGTCTCTTTTTGTTCACTGTACTGGTAAAACTGGCTCCTAGATTTCCTATTGTAGTAGATTTCTGCATGGCTATGAGAACGAAAACTATCTAATTTTTGTTTTACGTATCAACTTTGCATAAAAACACATACAAATACAGACTTGAAACGACATAAAACATTGTGAAATATATTTACTTACTGTTGGAATCTTCATTCATGGAAGAAATGTGTGCTGTGGCATTGATCATTACTCAGTGTCCCCCAGTGTAAACACATCTGGCTCTTAAATCTCAACTGAAGCGTCCCTTTGCATGCATCTGCTTGCTGCAAATCAGCCTTTCGAAAACATCCTCAAGAAGAGGACACTGAAAGCTCAAGGGCTCTCATCATTGTCACACATGTGGAACATCCATGTAGTTTCAGTCAGTGAAATTGGAAACTGTGACAAACATTGCCTGGGAGAGTGCTTTCACACCTGTTTGGCTGCTGTACAGACACATTGTTATGGTATATTATAAGGCTTCCCCCTGCAGCTTAGACTCCCTAGTTATAAAAGTGGGTCCAAACTCATCTGCACCATTTATTAGAAAACATCAGGCCAGATGGACAGCCAAGAACTTGCTGGAGTGTGTTGAAAGGTCAATAACTACTATAATATCCTTTATAAAAGCAGCTTAATAAACATAAGTTTCCTGTTTTATGATGGCAAAGCTGGTGTTGAAAAGTGTTTGAGTTCATGTCAGCAAATCTATAACACATCCTGTAGTGCCCTCATCTGTTACTCATTGGTATTACAAAAAAAGAAGATAGAAATTAGGTTAATTTCTCTTTTTTCCTTTTAATAAATACTTTAGAGGTACTTTTGTCTATTTTTGCTTCACTACATTTCAGAGGTAGGTTTCATTACATGACACTCGATTACATGTTTTTTTTTTTAAAAGTTACCCAACGCTTTTAGTGGTTAAAAGGAAAATACAGATTAAATCGCCCAATGACATGACAATCACCTGGCTATTTCTGTTATCTCTAATCAGTACGTGCATGGTATTTTCACATATGTAACAGTTAATTACGTTTGCAGGAGGGGCAGGTCAGGAGCAGAGGTTCTGGCTGTCCGAATCTGGCTTTGGGAACATGGAATATCACCTGTAGCTCAGTTAACCCTGAGCTAGTGCTTGAGGTTGACAGTATATATAGGTATGGTTAACCTCAATGTACAGCTTGGGCTCTGAAACAGAGAGGCCAGACTATCACTCTGGAGTTAGCACGGCTATCTGGCTAGCTTCATTCAGGTGATTTTCAGTGAAAAATATGTTGAGGCTCAAGACCTTGAGTTTCAGAGTACAAACAGGCCTATTTCTTTCTTTTCTTTTCTTTTCTTTTCTTTTTTTTACATAAATAGGCCAATATAGTGTCCCCAGCCTAGTCTAGTTAAACTCGCCCAATATAAATAGAATCATGATTTTGTTTAGTTTATAAATTTGTCCTTGATAATTTTCCAATTAAAGTCCTTCATCAATGTCTACCATAAAAAATGTGAATACCACTCACACAATACGATGGTTCTTGTGTAGACATAAGGATTCATTACACGTAAAACCTGTAACACAACCTGTAAAACAACGACACAACCTCTCTTTTGTGTCGTAAAACAAGCTGCAGGGCACACTCTCTTACGAATTTGGGTTATTTCCTCATACTTTACAAAGTTAGTGTAGTATAAGGAAATACTGCTAATACTACCAAGAAAGATAACACATCTTACAAGAAGTTTCCTCGCGGTTGACGGTGGCTCCTGAGTGGCTGCTTACCGCGTGTGGACTTCCTTGTTACCGTTGCTACGGTTACCAGCGATGACTTGGCTGAAGTCCCTCCCTCCGAGTTTGCCCCGTCAGTGCTGCTCACTCAAGTTCCTTTACACACACACCCAACCACACAAGGGAGTTTATAGTAAACAGAGAACTTCATATGAAGCGGATGAAGCTGATACAGCGCAAGATATTTATTTTCTTCTACTTGAATTCTACTTTTTAGTCACGGGTACGTACTTTACCCTTTCCCCGCTAAATACTTAGTAACAGGTTGCACATTGTCGTTGTTGCTAGCCAAACGTTACAACTGTATGTTTTCGGAAAGACTTTTTAATATGTTCACGCAGTACGTTTGTTTACACTGTTGTTATTGCAGTATTTTTATATTGAGAAGATTTCAGTTGCCGCAGGAAGTTTTACAACATCGGAAAGGAAGTAAACGTTACGTTTTAACTTGTCAAGCCACACGTGAACTGAAACCTGAGCTATTCTTTTCTCTTAGCTTTGTCTCGTTTACCATGTGACGATTAATTTGACTGCTTGACAGGTGTAACGGGTATTTATTTAACAAATTGAAGTTGGACCTACTCCACCATGTGGCGGAAAATCGACGGTTGTTATATTTAGATGCCGTTGACTTTTTAGGAAGTTGAGTGAATATTTTTGTTTGGCAGCCTGTAATACGTGAAATATTCTGCCGACACATGCAGCGATATAAAAACATTGGACGACTTGGCAGAAGACAGGCGGTTATGACCCGCTGAACTTAAATAA